GTATTTTCCCGTTTTTGTAGCCATGAAAAATGTCTGTACTATAAAAATATAATAGTGCCAAGAATTAGGATATTTGTTGAAAAATCATTTCTTTTTAAATTGTTCCTGTTGGGGGAATCCCGTTTGCCTACGGTATCGTTTGCCTACATTATTTTTGCCGACAGTTTAACTGTTTCTAAAATTTTTATTTGTGTGCAAAAGTGCATATAGGCAATCAAACTGTAGGCAATAATTTTTGTGTGCAAAAATTATTGCCGACGAACTGTCAGCAAAAGTGATGTAGGTAAACGATACTGTAGGCAATTGATTTGTAGGCAAAAGCAACCATCTCGTTTCTATTACTATATCAAATAAATTCAATTAATATTGTCAGTTATGGATATAGTCTAAATAAATTCTGTGTATAGTATATTCCCCATAACTATACACACTCACACAACACACACGAATGGGCTGTATAATATGTAAACCAAGTTCTGTTCTTAGCTATGTATGCTGAAGTGTAATAAATTTTATTCTATTACGTACACAAATACAGGATGTCTGCAACAGTATCAAAACTGTTATAGCGCTTCTGCACATGAAAAAAAACAATCGAAAGTGTCTAATATATGTCCGATTCCAAACGGAGTATTGATGGAAACATGAGTCAAAATAAATATGATTTAATGTCATTTATTCTCTCTTGTTTTAAATTCTTATTCAATCGGAATTTTATTCCGATAGACCAAATCTTTCATTCGTCCACCAAAATGTGAACAAATATGTTAATGTGTCTCTATCAATTGTCGGCCCTGTCATCCACTGTCTCTCGTGAAAAAGGTAAGTCTACAACTTATCTAGTTACAATTTGATGAACGAAAGTTCTAAAGAAAGAAAAAGAAGAGAGAATGACGAGAAGAACGAAATTTCAAAGTTCAGGACAATTATAGCAACTGACACTTAATGCTGCCGATATCATTCGCAAAACTCTAATAAAATAATTTTCCAAAGTTCAAAACAATTTATTAATTCATGCTAAAAAAATGTCAGACAAATTTTGAGCATCTTTTGTAAAGCATTAAATAAAATAACGAACATTAAAAATATTTACTATGATTCATGTTTCCTTACTTCAAAGTATTCCTTAACTCCGAAATCATTCGGATATATTTATTAGATATTTTCAACTTATATATATATTTTCATATACTAAAACCACTATAGCAGTTTGGCATTGTATGCAGAGACATTCTATATATAATTTTATATTTTCACACAATTAAAAATTAAAAAATTAATCTTAAAATAATTTGTCTTAAATTAAAAGATAATAAATATTTATTCATAACATAAAGTCGATATTTAAAAAATATTTGGCTAAAGAAATGATAATCATATAGAAATGACTTTCAAGAGATATAAATGTTAAATAATCTAGATTATCAGTAGTAAAATACTCTATCTTCACTTCCAATACTCTAATGCTATATATAATTATATAAAAATAGAAAAAAACAATATTTACATTTTTATACATATATACAATAAAGAGAGCATTTATTCAGGTCCATGAACTGTAGATAGGAATTTATTCAGGTCCATTTCGTCTAAGTTACTAAGTAATGCTTGAGGATCAGTCGGGCATTTCTTCTCAATCTAGATAAAAAATTATAAAAACAATTGTATTATATAGTATTATTAGAGGTGACGTAAATACATATTAACATAAATATGAATTATTTAATTACCTGTTTTGTTTCTTTTGCTTCTGACAGTTTTCTCTTTCGGCTTTTGGTAGTAATATCTGGAACTAAAACATTTTATATAACGATATCTAACTTTTACAAGTTTTAACAATATCTTTACAATCTTACCTTTTTCCTGCTTATCCAGTTTTTGCTTTTTCTTTGTATCAGATTGCTTATTATTATTAGTTTTGTTTGTCGCAGCAGTTTTAATCATCTTTTTCATTTTAGCTTTTGGTGGTTCTTCTACAGGAGATGATGTAGCCAAAGGTTTTGTAGTATCATTTTTTATATTAAGCATGTCCTTATCCGTCTTAGGTGTTTCACAAACTTTTTCATTTTTGGTGCGAGATTTTTTATTCACTGTTCGTTTCTTAGGCGGAAGATTAAGTATTTCTTCGAATTCGGTAGCTTTCATTATCTTGATGCACTCAACGGGGTTCGGATCTGAGAGATCTGCATAATTGATTTCGATCTGTAATTCATGTGCGCTGTATCTCCTTCTTCTCTTTTTCATCGGCACACTATCGTCATATACAAAGTGATACTCTGTTTTATTATTATGAACATCGACTGTTTGGTGCAACTCATTACCACTTTCGTTTTCAGGTTCACTGTGTTCTTTGTGTTGCTGTTCAGCTTGACTTTTATTATTGTGCAAATGCTCCTTTTTAGACGCTGGCACTAATTGCAAACATTGAAGAACGGTTGATAATTCGTGCTTAGGATTTTCAACGTTGACGATTTTCTTCTTATCCGAAGCTTCAACAAGATTAGAATTTTGAATTTCTGTATCAATTGTCTTAGTTTCGTTATCTTTTGCCGAAGATGTTTTGTTATCATTTTCCTCGTCACTGAATAAGTCACGCTTTACTTGATCCACCTTATATCTTAATATTTTGTAATCAGATTTCTCATTTAAAAATTGTCTCGGTTTATTTTTTTTATCATCTGTTTGATCATGCTTTACTTTATCCAAAGCTGATATTTCTTGTTTAACAATATATTTTTCCGAATTTTCTTTTTTCAAAACTTGTTCTTGTATATCAATATTTTTTTGTGTTTCTACTATTCCATCTTTGTCGACATTACTCTCAATATTACAATATTCCTCTATACTCTTAGTATCTAGCCTCTTTTTTAGATAATCTTGATTTTCTGATAAAGAATTATATAATTCCGTGGATTCGTTTTTCTTACAATTTTCAACTTCATTATTTTCACAAATATCATTTACGAATTGTTTTGTCGTATGATTATCAAGCTTGCTACCATTATTTTTGTAATTCGTTAAGTTAGAATCTGTACTTTTCGATGCAGCAACTTGGTTTGTCGTTTTTTCTTTGTTGTCATAACGCTTATTCACGAGATTTGGTTTTTCCGGCTCATGTTGTCTTTGCGTATTTTTTCTCGAGGTTTCTTGTAGATTATCTTGCGGCTCCGTATCCTTATTAACATTTCTGGAATATTTTATCGTTGGACGTATATTTCGGTTTCCTCTACCAAACTTCTTTAGAGTTTCTGAAGCTTTGCTTGTTAAAATGCATTTACGTTTTGTTCCACAAAGGTTCAATTTTGAATTATCTTTGATCTTAGCTATGATGCGTTGTCGTTTTTCTTCTAATAGCTGCCTTTGCATAAGTTTATTGTTCACAGACGTGCTTTGCTCATCTTCAGATTGACACTCATCTTCAATCGGTTTCCGCAACTGGATCAATCCTGGCTGAATACACTGTATATCTATTATTTTTGGCAGTGCTCTCGGTTTGTTGATTTGTATTTTACTGCTATTCTTTGGCGGCTTATTTGATTTCGATAATTTTTTGTCTTTCGTCATAATTGCTGATATTTTTGTTGTCAAGTTAATCATTTCTACTCCGCTTTTCGAACTGCTGGGCGTTTCCGAAATATCAGCCTCATTTAATAAAGTCTCATCTTTAGCTGGGGTTTCTTTCTGGGTATTCTTTAACTGATCGTCAGTTTTCGTGATTGCGAATAGTTTCTTTGGCGAAGACTCCGTTTCAATCGCATTATCTGATTTTTTACATGCGTTTTGTATATTTGTTGCATCATTTATATTTTTCGGTGCGTTTTTTTCCGCGAAATCGCTACTGATGTCTGTGCTCGTTTTACTTGGGGCTTTGTTGCATTTCTCATTTGGCGAACATGTATTTATCGATGTATTCGAACTGCTGGATGTAGATGACGAGGATGATGATGATGATGATGTGTCAGATGACGAGCTACTCTCAGAATCATTGTGAGAATCGTTGACATCGGTTATTATTTCCTGATGCTCACTTATGCCTTTAAATTCATTTATTTGTATTAGATCTACATGTCGATCTGTTATAATGGAAGCGTTGAATTCTGCGCTTCCTGAATCTTTAGAAGAAGATGCAATTTTGAACTCTTTGATAGCTTCTTCTTTTGGTAAATTCTCCTTGATGACTTCGAACTCCGTTATCTCTAATTTAGAAGAACACGTCTGATAAGTATTACCAGAAGTGAGACTATTGTGCACCGAATGTAATTGTATGTGCGATGAAGATATAATGGGTGACTCTTGTATACTGTTGTCTTTAGGCTTATTGTTAGATACCTTCAGATCAGACTCTTGAGCTTGCTCAGAGGTGGGTTTGTAATATGGGGAATTGTACTCGTCTCTTTTTATAACATCTCTAGTCATCTCCTCTTTCGGAGTTATAGCTATGCCCGGGGTTATCGGGAATTCCGGGGTGGGAATAAAACTACGTATTTTAGAGGAATCCTCGCTGACCTTGATAAACGGAGTAATTAGATTACTAGAGGGACTTAATACTCTTGGCGTCGGTGGAGGACCGGATATGT